GCAAGTGTAATACCGCCTTTACGTACCTTCTGCACATTTTCAAAGTGAAATAACTTTTGAACCCCAAGTTCTAAAAATATGTAATTTTTTTCTAAACTTCATAATAAAAATATCTATCGTTCAGACCATTCACTTGGCTAAAACAATGACAAATACAAAATTTTATAGCGGTACAAAACCTCCATACAAACCTGCCATTCTCCTTTGCTCTCCGTTCCTGCCACTTCAGGTTTCATTGAAGGAGGTTTTTCAGTAATGAATCTAAAGTAAAGTAAGAGAAATAGAGCATCAATAAAATTAATAAAAAACGAATTGTTAACTTCTTTAGATGTTGATTGTCAAACAAGCTTTGTAACATAAAAAGATAATAAAAAATTACCTACGTTTGTAAAGCGAAAAAATACATAATGAAAAATACGCTTTTTGCTTCCTAATACATACTAGTTTATTTACGTTATATTTATTTTTTTGTCAAAAAAAGTTTAGCAACCCTATTCACAACACTAAACACCATATTAGAACTCCTGCTGGCCCGCCGGTATCATCGAAGACCGCGTCGTTTCGCAAAATGGCAACGTCTAAAAATCACAAAACAGAAAAACTCGCGTAGCATTACTTATTTTTAAATTGAATTATTTTTTATATATTTAACGCATCTTAATAATAACCTATTCAAAAATGAGGTTGCGTTAAATAATGAATGTGGCTAGGGACTGCAGACACCAGAATGTTACAACCGAACAACTCGACAATACATTTCCAACCGGAGAGTCAGTCCACTTTGCTGATGCTTTAAAGAGGTTTCCGCTCCGGTTCATTCCCCCTTCCGAAAATATATTGATATGTTTTATTGCTCTGAAATTCACCAATATATTACTTTAGGATTCGGAAATTGAACTGTATCTTACAATAAATTACTTTAAACTTCCAGAGATCCAACGCCATCTTCAACAGATCTCATTACTACGCGATGGGAGCCGACAGAACCTGGATCAACTCGGCGGCCATATTTGGTATTGGATCAACCAATCACACTCAAATATCGAATATTTCACCAAAGGTTGTCTTTCTGGGAACTTTATTACAAATTGTATAAGAATGACGAAAGGGGTTTTGAGAAGAAATAAAATGTAATACGTTGATCAAAGATTTTTTTTTAAAACGTTGCCCCACACTAAGATTTTCTCCTGTGTCGTGGGTGCGTTTACAAACATATAAGTTCACATACACATGACACCCAGACCCGGAACAACAATCTGTGGATCACACAAAGAATTGTTCCGTGCGGGAATCGAACCCGCGACACGTTGCGCGGCAGCCAGTTGCCCAGCCAGTCAATGCGCCAACCGTGCAGTCAATGCATGATATTTTTTCATAACAATATTCTATAATGTAGGGTGTAAACGGAAAGCTTCCGAACCGCAACCAGGGCGCTTACTTTTGAAACTAATCTCAATGTCAATGGAATTTCAATCCAATAAAATCTAAATAATTATTCTATGTCAACACTATACAACCCCCATCGTATCTGTTAAAATAGCATTTAGAGTACGGAATACAAAGCCAAACTCAATACCATTTAGTTCATTAACTCGTCGAGTACCGGTTTTGTAGACACAATTATAGAACAATAGGTTGCGGTCACCGGTGACCGCTTGGTGTTTGACAGTTTAAATATCTACGTAATGGCAATTAAAACGCATGTGGAATATGTTAAGATATTTGTTTATTCTGATAAAGGTAGAAACGAGTAACAATATTTATAACAATAGCGTGAGGAGAGGGAAGTACAATGGCGCCACCAAACATTAACAGGGCAAACCAAAACTAGTTGCGTTCCATTACTCTAACTTACTTATTTTCTTCTAAATATTATTTCATGATCTATTTGAATATTGAGCAATATTATAGTAACTGTTACCACATCTAATAAAAACCTTAATAACAAAGACAGTATGTGTATAAATTTCGATAACACAATGATTTTTAGATTTATTATGTAGGTAGGTTATTTTTATTTGGCACAGATATAAAATATAAATTTATATTATAATTTATCATTTAATTAGAGGAAGATGTGGAGAACTACCGATAGATACTGGACAATAATGAAAGTGCGGCCAAAATTGAAGTCTCGTTTACCACATTCTCTTGCGAGGATATAATTTCAATTGTTAATCACAAAAAAGTATGAACCAGATCCAGCACGTCTACAGCTTACTTATCATTTCATTCATTCACTTTGTGAAAAACCATTGTCTACAAGAGCCAGCAAAGGAGCAAGTGAAACCAAGAACATTGGAATCGGATAGAACAACGTTTTTTTATGGAATAGGAGGCAAACGAGCAGACGGACCACTCATTGTGCCATTTAAAGAAAACGAAGAAGCCTTCATTTGAAGAAGATGATGACATGGAAGAAGTGTTGTCGCCTAGGTAGAATTTCCTTGTGTTGAACCACAAGGAACAAGTGACATGAAAGAAGTGTTATTGCCTCTGTTGAAATGTCTGAAGTCTCATCAGAAATCCACACTAAGACTATAATACAGACAAAGAGAGAAACTTTAAGTGTGACCTTATTAAAAAAAACATCAAAATTATATAGGCTTACCAAAGAATTGTTACTGGTTAATAACTATTTAGAAAGTTATTTAAAAGTAAAATCGTTTGATATAATAGTAACTTTGTACAAAATTAAAAATAATACCCCCTTCTACTAAAAATCAGATGTACGTCAGGCTGGCCCGGCCCCATGGAATTTAATAATGAGATTGTTATCAATCCAATGTACCCGGGTATACTAATATATGTAACACCTTCATTTTCAATGTAACTCTTTTTAAAAGAAATTACGTGCACTTCTTAGTGGCCGGGCCAGCCTGACGTTTTCAGCCCGGCCACCTTGTTTCCCACTAATCTACAAAAAATACTGGCAATATTGTGCTACAGATGAAATGTACCCTATAATTTATGCATATGTAACACAAAATCGAATCCTAAAATGCAATAGCATACGAAATATTAGCGGTTGCAGGTGGCCGGGCTGAAATTATTTCGTTACTATAAAACAGTAAAACTGCAACACCTACCAAAAAATAATACCAGTACATAATGAGATATAGAGATATAGAATACATGTAACGCTTTCATTTTAAATTATAATACATATTTAGAAAGAATAATCACTTGAAATTATATTTCAGCCCGGCCACCTAAAAGCGGTAATATTCCCTAAAATCTTATGCTAATTTGTACAGTAAAACCTGATACAGCTATGAAATGAAAGTTACATTCGTTTTGTTTTAGTCGTATACCTTTAAGCCTTCTGTTTGACTAGATTATCAAAATCTGAGAAACTTGCCGAAGAGTGACTATCATTTATTAACTAATTTCAGGACATTTGGTTTGTTGAGTGAAACAAAATGCGTTACTATGATATTTTTATTAATAAACTAAGTAGTATAAATCACACATAATAATTGTTGGATACATAATACCTAAACCTATATATATTTTCTCCGTTTTTGGCTTCACAACATAACCATACAAAGATAATAGTTCACAGACGCTACCACCGATTTTTAGACGGCGCCTGTGTCGCGTCCCAACCTAAGTCGTAAGATATTTTCCCCGAGTAGACAGAATAGATGCGCAAGAGCCGTGTAGTTATCAACACTTCTGACATAATATTTTACGTTTTAATATTACTGTTATTAATATTATTATATTTGTTTCACTCAACAAACCAAATGTCCTGAAATTAGTTAATAAATGATAG